CAGCACAGCAGGAGCTGCACCGTCCCACGCAGGTCCTGCAAACACATTCGTGCCAGGCCTGCGGATGCTCTGTGCCACCCCACCCCACGCCAGAGCCCCTGCTCCGTCCCCATCCCCACCCCACGAGCAGCCCCGTTGTACCCCACCAGCCAAGCTGCACTTACCAAGCATCCACCCAGCTGGGGCTCAGAGCAAAACCGGGCCATGCCACGGGCACAGGACAGTCACCGCTCCAAGAGACTCAAGAAAAACTGTCCCAAAACTTCCACCCAGTGTTCCTGCAGGCTGGCTGCAGCTCAGGTGTTCCTAGAGCAGAGGCAGCAAAGACAACATTCATTGCAATGGATTTTTAAAAACTGAAGTCTTTATTAAAAGTTTTATCCAAATTTTGTAACAAAAGATACAAAAGGGCTGGAGATCCTTATTTCTGGGACTAGTCTGACCAATCAAAACCTGACAGTTACTAGGCTAATATAAAATCCATACAATCTGCTAAAAATGCAGGGAAAAATTAGAAGTAACTGCTGCTCTGAAATTTCTTTTAAAAATTCCTTTAACATTTATAAGTTACTCAGTTTGCATTTTACAGGACTAGTTCTTCTCTGAATGGTTACAGCTACTGTACAATGCAAGAGACAACAGCAAGAACAGAACAAAGCAACAGAAACTCAGATGTGCTGCAACACACACCACTCCTCTGAAGGAACCGCTGCGAGTCTCGCCTCCGAGCGCTGGGTGCCGACAGATCGCCCAGAGCAACCACCAGGAACGCCACAAAGTGCCAGTGCGCCTGCACCCATGGAGAGCCTCGACAGCAGGAGGAACAGCAGTTACTCCCGCCCCGGCACAGCTCTCCGGCACCCAGCACTGAGCAGTCAACATCCCTTGGACGCCACAGGGCCAGTTCTCCCCAGAAGCTAACGGATGTGCCGGTTGAACACCTCCAGGTAGAGGAAGGGCGAGCACGGGGTCAGAAACCCCCCGGCGGAAGACTACACCTGGCCAAATCCCCCCTTTCCTCCTTTCAGCCACCGCAGGGTAGGCAGACGCGTGCTCTGCCGCACCGTCTGTGCTCCTGCAGAGCATAAACACGAGTGGGAGAGAGCTGGATTTCTGATCATGCACTTGTCTTCATACTGAAAAGGAAAGAGGAGGATGCGTACACCAGGCTAGCGCTGAGGCAACTGTCCAGAGCTGGTACTGGCTAGCAGAAGGACCCTGAGAATATATAGGCTAACACGGTCTCCCGGGGAACGCCGAGTTAGGTGCATCACAGTGATACTGGTTGAACGTGTTCTGTACAGTGCGAAATGGAGTTTGACAGAAGTGCAGTATCCCTTAACCTGCTATTTCCTATCTCTTCCTAAGGGCAGAGGCTGCTATGGGGTGACGAGAAGCCTCATCACAGCAAAGATGCTCACAGCCACAAAAATCAGGCTTACTTGGACATCCAGGTGAAAGTTACTAGGTGGCCACTGGGAAAAATATTCCAGTTTATAAAAAAAAAAGAATAGGAAAGCAAGTGCAGGGCTACTGCAAGGTGCATCGTCAGAGGTACCAGGTCTTGTAAGCAGCCAACCCCCCCTCCCCAAGACCCCAGGCACCCCACATCCCCAGCACTAAAGTATCTTCAAGCATCTCCAGAGATCACATCATGATTATTTCCGACCAGAGAGACCTCAGTGATCATTCGCTTTGAGTCCATTTAGATGAACTAGATTTGCACCCACGGCTCAAGATGGCTCAAGCATCTTCAGAAAGCTGGTCTGAGGGAATGCGGATAGCAAACACGCCTTCTTTGCTGTCAGGCAGGGTGGTGAGCTGGAGCTCTGGGTCCAGTGTGGCAAGGCTGATTTCAGACACGAAAGATACCCTAGGAGGAAAATGTTTCTTTTTTTTTTTTTTCTTTTCTTTTTTTTTTTTTCTTTTTTTTTTTGCAAACTGCTGCACAAACCACAGAACGGAGAAAGCCTTTGGTCATGAGATACTTGTGAGAAAGTGAGCCTTGTATGGAAGATTCCCCTGAATGCCTACAGTATTCTACATCTTAAAAAAATATATTGTGGATGCTGCAGCCATACAAAGAGGGGAGGAGTGGGAGACAGGGATTTACAGTCTCACATAGACACAACAGGGAGGTTAAGACAAGCACAGTCATAGTCTGTAAAACTGATTGGCTCGCTTGGATCAGTCATCCTCATCGTCCTCTTCATCTTCTGGATCTTCCTCTCCTTCATCCTCTACATTTCGTTTTCTCTTTTCCCCTCGCGGAAGGTCTGCAAAAAGAGGTGAAGCGTGAAGCTCTGTTCAGTCTTGCGGAACAGCATTTGAACTGTGGCTTCAAGCCGCGTCAGCCACAGCTCACTGGTGAACAAGCACAGACTAGACTGGCACCATTACGGAGCGGAGATCCACCCTGCTCAGCTTCTCATGGCACCCAGAAGAGCCTGGACTATCATGAGACATTAACTATTTTCTATGCCCACCAAGCATCCCACATTTCAACAGCTGCTTGAGACATTTCAACAGCTGCTTGAGAAGGGGCTTTTTTTGTTGAGCACCCCCAAAACCACAGCATCTGCAGAATTCAGTCACTTCTGGCCAAGCTCATGCAGGATCATTTGAAGTCATGCCAGGCACTATATTCTGTCAATGTTCATTCAGGTGTTTATAGTTTTATTATAACCAGAGGAGTCTGGACTCAAGTCAAGAAGCTCAGGTCTATCCTCCTCTCTACAGCTGAGAGGAGAGAGGAACGTGTCTCCAAGAGTGTTACCTCGCGCACACTGCTAACATGAGCTTCTGTGACAGAAGCCCTGCTCCTGCATGGACTATCAGTTCAAGCTCCTTAGAACTGTTTTACTAGGCAATTTGCCTCTAATACTTGGCAGACTCACCCAGCTTGGTTGGTATTGGGAGGTACTCTCTCCCCACCTCTCACTGCGTGACCCTCTGGTTATAACCACTGTTCAATAGTCAGCTTAGGCATAAGCAGCAGCTTCAGCGGTGCCCGTAAGCAGAAACGCTGAGCTTTCTATCAGGGAAAAGCTGCAGGCAACAACAGCACTGCACTGAAGCTTGGGAAGCTCTACAAAACCAGCAAATGTGTGAGACTGTTGAGGCAGCTCTGCAAGCACTTTGTTAGGATTCAACTCACCATCATCAGCTTCATCTTCTTCATCATCCTCACCATCTTCCTCCTCATCTTCCTCCTGGAGTCAAAACAAGACACTTTGTCGCAAGAACCACAATCCCACGAGCAAGGTCTAATTCAACAATTCTTCCTTCACCTCTGCTCCCGCCTTTCTCTAACCTCAGTGTGGCAGGTACAAGCCGAGCAGGGAGAAGCTGCCGGTTCCTAAATAACTTCTTGCACCCCTACGAAGGGGGCTGTACAGCTTTATCACTTGAAGCCACGGGAAGTACCAGACGGAGCAATAAACAAGCCTGAAGTGGCAAGCTCTGTGGACCACGAGGCAAAAGGTGTACAGGAAAAGCCAGAGCACGCGGCGGCACTCCTCAGATCTGCCCACAAAGAGGCATCTGTGACGTGGTCAGATGGGTCACCGGATTAAGGGACAAACGCACTACCAAACATAGCAAAGTGGTGCTGCAGATTTGTACTGATGACAGAAAGCCTCACCTCATCATCTACTCCATCTTCCTCCTCTTCACCTTCCAGATCATCATCTTCATCTTCTTCATCATCAATGACTTCTTCATCTAAATCATCTTCCTCCTCATCATCATCCTCTTCCTCACCTTCTACCAAAAGGAGAGGAGATAAGCGTGACAGTTCCCCAATACTCGCTACTCACAGACAATATGCTCCCACCTCCAACATCGGCACTACGCGAGCAACGGGCAGGAATCGCACCGAACAAGCATGCACAAGGAGTGCCCGCAACAAGCCCTGTCAGCTTGCGGCAAGTCTCATTTCTTACACAGCCTGCCGAAGGAGGGAGTGGGGTTCCCCAGAGAGCCCCTGCTTCAGTGGCAAGTTGTAATCACCATTTATTTAGCAACATGACCATGCAGAAGAGGACAAGGGGTTCTTCCCCAGCAAGAAAACCAAGAGGAGAAAATCCTCACCTTCCCCATTCTCATATTCATCTTCCAGTCCATCCCCATCTGCTTCAGGGTCTGAGTCAGGGGCTTCCTGGTCATCAGCATCAAATCCGTCTAGGTAGGTGAGCTGGGGCAGAAGGGTGAACACGCTCTCCCGGTAGTTGATGAGCATCGTCACCTCACAGTTGAAGAGGTCCAGACTATGGAGGTTTGGCAACTTTTTCTGCAAAGATCAATTTGTTAGATTATTTACAAGTTGACACTGTTTGAAGATCAGGCAGCCATCAGAGAGGACAGCTGGTTTGCTACCCAGATCTAGTACAGAAGTGTCCTTGCATGCATTATTTGCACCATGTGCTCCTCAGATGGAGAGCAGCTATTGCTCTTGCTAACTGTAGGCAAAGATTTCTTTTCAGCTCCTCTGTCCAAGTTTCCCCTCCTTGGAGCCAGCTCCCTGTGAAACCATTTGCAAATCCTACTCCTTTCCGAATGGGGTGGGCAACAAGCACCGAAAGCTCAGCTCCCCCAGCAGGAAGAATCACTGGGCTGGCCTCATCCTGCCCCAAATATCAGACAAAACACCCAACAGCACAGCACAGGAAGACCTGCAGACTGCATCCGCGTGCCTTTCGACACAGCCACAGCGGCTCTCCCGCTCAGGCCAGCGCACCGTGCACCAGGTCAAGCAAAGGAGGAGTAAATGTTTCAAGCTCTTTCTAAATGCCCCAGATCAGACCTTTCAGCTACAGAGTCAGGATCACAAGGCGAGAGCCTTCTCTGGGGCGGTTCAGATGCCATGGGAACCCCCTGCAATGCATGCTGTGACAGCACCCAGGGCAAGAGGGTACCAGCCCAGCACAACAGCGCCTTTGGACTGATGCAATGGACACCCTCACTGGTGTCCAAGCAACTCATTTCCATGACACTCCAGGTGCCACCTACCTCAAACTGCATCCGACCCATTAACGGTCCTTTCTCAGATGGACACTGAGCACTGCATCCACAGTGTTACTCATCCAGCCCAATTTCATGCTTCTTTTAGCAACTGGCTGCTGGTTTTCCAGACAGAGGAGCCATTAACTATTAGCCCAGCCTCAAATTGGACCCACTCATCTGTTCCCATCAGAACCACGAAGTGCTGTTGGAACAGTTACCAAGACGTTGGACTTCTGCTGCACAGACACGCTCCCCAAAGGAAACAACGTCATCCCTAAGATTCCACCACAGCCTTCCACTCACCAAGGGCTCCAGGGTATTGATGTCTTTGATCTTGTTGCCGCTTAGATTCAAGTGTGTCAGGTTAGGAGTTCTCTCTGCTAGAACTTCAAGGCCACCAGAAATCCTGTTATCACTCAGCTCCAGCTGCCAGGAGGGAATATCACATGGTCACAAAGTGTCTCAGCTTGCAAGGTGGGGAATAAAGTTGCCCCAAGAACCGGACTACAATGAGCACCCAAGTTCCAGACTCTGAAGTTTTCACCTGAAACCCCTTTCCCATGATAACACAGCACTCCCAGCTATAACCGCATGTCCTAAAATTCAAAATATTTATGAAGTTACTGAGGCTTCTGACAACAGCACAACAGCAAAAGCAAGAGAGAAAGGACACTAAACATATAATGAGCTCAAAAGCATTTTGTTGCATACTAAAAAACCACCTCTCTCACTTGCTCAGGTTGTAGGCTGCAGAGGAAAGAGCAAAATCAAATGGCCTTTTTCTGGCAAATGCAAGAAAAACTACTGTCACCAGGGACAGGGCAGCAGAAGTCTCGGAGCAAGGACCGCAGGAGATGGGACCACAGGTCTGACTCACCTTCCGGAGTTTGTTAAGTTTGGGGAGATTGGAGACAGACAGCAAGTTGATGTTGATCATGCTGAGGAACTCCAGGTTCTCGAAATCTGAAGAAAGACCAACGATCTTTCCATCGTCCGAACGGCAGTTATCAAGAACCAGCTCCTTCACCTGCCAACAGAGACACCCAGCAGCTGTCATCATACCCAGCTACGTCTCACCTCGAGTCTGTTAAGCTGACATCAGGTGGAGTGACCGACCCTTCAAAGCAGCAGCTGTGTCTGAAGGTCTTTCTTACTCACATTAAGGGACATGCAAGATCTTAAAGCCAAATAACTTTTGCAACGGCACAAGGTGAGAATCCCTCGTGGTCATTAGAGCTTCAGCCTTTAAGCACAAGCTGTGCAACGTGCGACCACTGCACCACCCCACACCCTGTGGCTCCAGCCAAGGTCCACCTTCTCCACTGAGAAGCACTTCGGGGTTGAACCATGAGGTTGCATCAAAATGTTCCACGCATAAGGCATGAAAAAAAAAAAACTTTCAGAGAGTCACACTTCAGGTTTCACTAACAAGAGGCCAAACAAGGTCACCTGGTTTTGTCCCCTTTGACTTTCTCCCCCATGCCACTGGGGTGCTGGAAAACCTGCCTCCAGAGGACTTGTTTCCCTGAGACAGTCTCCACGCAGAGAGACACCTCTGCCTAGGCAGGTCTCTAAGCAGACGAGTTCAACCTCAGGCTCGCAGTTCAGGACCACTGACGGCATCCAGTATTTTGCCCAGCACAAACTACACACGCACAGAAGCCATCACTACCCAGATATTCAGCACAAAAATCTTACCCCCCTCTGGCACTAGGACCATGAAGCACCAGCACAGAACTGCTCCCTCCCAAACACCTGGAGGATGAACATATCTGGTAGCCCCCCCACCCCCAAAGCACAGGACCACTCAAGCCCCAGCTCTCACAGGCCACTTCCAGAGCTTGTTTTTGCCCCCCACATTCCTCACAGCAAGATGCAAAAATCAGCCTTGGCCAGAAGGCTCTCATGATGTTCTCCGCACTCCTCCTTCACAGCACTCCCATTTTACCTCTCTTGCTCAGATCAGCTAACTATTAGGGCATCGGTTTAAAATCACTTTGCCCTTACTGGCAGCAGAGTTCTAGGGCTGCCGTGCCACCTTCACAGCACAAGCTCCAAACAAATTAACGCTTAAAACTCCAGAATTGGCATCGCTGGTCAGGGCTCTGAGTTGAGCAGCAAACAGGCTCTACCAGGAGTTTTGTAGCTGAGCTCGTTTTGCTCCCAACACCCCAGGACAAGCCTCCAACTTAACAGAGACTCTGTCCTCACGGGGGGTGTAGAAGGGCCCAAAGCCAGCCCTCCGCTGCTGTCGCTTTGTTGGTGCGAGCACAGAGCCAAGCTTGAACGTTCTCAGGCTGAGACCAGCTTTAACCCGGCGCCGACCCCTGCCCGGCACGGCAGAGCAAGCACTGCAGCAGGAGG